ACAACCTAAATTATTTGAAAATTCAACATTAATACAGATATTGACATATTTATATATAGAGTGTGACTAAGGATCAATACATGTGTATGATGATGTAGCAAATATTCAGATAGAATTAATGAGCTCATAAAATGTTTGATTCGAATAAATAAATAAAGTTTGAGAGGGAAAGTTCCAGAACATTGAAATAGTGATTAGAACTCATGCACAGTCATTCAAGTCACTGAATCGCCTGGTGACAATACGCTGCAGAATATCGAGAGAAATAACTCGACTAAAGTTTTTTGATGAATGTCTCAAGTCATGCCGTTTCCCACGTCAGTTCTTAAAGTCTTTACGCTCATTTAAACTTCCGCCTTCTCTTAAAAATCTTCGACGCATCACAAAATCTCACATTGAATCAACAAAGTTACTGATTGAACGTTTGAGGGCAGAAACTAATGCCTTTAATGAATTAATCGACAATCTAAGTATCGTATGTCGCATAAAATTTATCAACTTTATACAAGATCTGCAAAGCAAAATATGCAAGAATTTCCACGTAACTTTGTCAAAGACTCTGTCAAAGGAACAATTATGTTTTGGCTTTCCGGAAAACCCCGAAAAGTTTCTCTATAATCTATCAACAATGAAGTTAAATCAGACAGAAACAGAAGCCTTGTCACTTGGATTTAAATTTCATATCCCCAAAACACATGCCGACAGAATCGACACAGAAACTCAATTTGAGAATTTATTTGATCAAATTAAAGAGTTGCACCCAGTTAATGAAGAAAAGAAAGGCTGGTTTAAATCTAAACTAGTCGATATTGCAAACCAATATCTTGTTTCACCCGCACCACAGTCTAAGCTTTTATCCAAAGACCACCAAACAGCATTACGAAATATTAAACGAAATGACGATATAATGATATTACGGTCAGACAAAGGCTCAAGTGTTGTTCTAATGAACAAAACAGATTATGTTTTTAAGATGAAGTCCATCTTGAATGACCATATGAGATTCAAGTTAGAGAAAAGTAACAAAGACTTAACTGATTCCATTGAGAAAAGAATCACCAAAGTACTCAGAGATCTTCTGAAAAAGAAAATGATCGATAACTCTACTTACAATAATCTACGACCTCGTGGGTCTCGTTTGCCCCACATGTATGGATTACCGAAAATACATAAACAAGGTTATCCTCTTAGACCTATTTTGTCAATGATCAATTCACCATACCACAAAGTTGCACGATGGTTGGCAGATAAGTTAGAACCAGTGCGTCAACGATTAGCCACCTATACACTAAAGGATTCATTTGTATTTGCTGACAGCATGAATCACATAAATATTGCTGGTAAGTTTATGGTTTCTTTTGATGTAACATCTTTGTTTACAAAAATACCACTTCTTGAGACCATAGACATAATTTGTCAACATTCTGACATCCTACCTCTACCAGTACCAGAATTCAAACGACTATTACTCATTTGTACAAAAGATGTTCAGTTCCAGTTCAACGATATCATATACAAACAAATCGATGGTGTAGCGATGGGAAGTCCGTTAGGTCCTATCCTAGCAGATATTTTCATGGCTAACCTCGAAAGAACCAAACTCAAACGAGCGATTGATGAAATGACGTATTATTCGAGATATGTTGATGATACCTTCATCGTATGTAATAATAAACAACATGCAATAAATCTGCTAGAGTTTTTCAATGAAGCACATCCGAATATCCATTTCACTATGGAACATGAAAAAGAAAACAAGTTCCATTTTCTCGATATCGCGATGAAAAGAAGAAAAGATGGTACAGTTCAACGTTCAGTTTATAAGAAAGACACATGGAATGGTAGTTATCTTAATTTCAATAGCTTTTGTCCAATCAGTTACAAAAAGGCACTGGTCAAAACACTGTTTTACAGAACAGAAAGAATATGTACTTCCGATACACTAGAAGAGGAAGTTATGAATGTTAAAAAATGTTTAAAGAATAACGGATACCCACTGAAATTTATTGAGAAATACGGCAAATGTGAAGTTAAAAAGCCGAAAGAAATTACAGCAAATAAAAAGCCTATTTTTATTAAACTTCAATTCAAAGGTGACGATGTCACAGGATCAATCAATATGAGACTAAAAACTGCACTGACAAGAACTTATCCTGCAGCGAAATTGATTGTCCTGTCCAAAACAACATGTATTTTAACACAATCAAAGGTCGATAGGTATCCCTTTCATGTTACCACCAACTGTGTATACAAATTTACATGTACCTGCCAAAGCAGTTACATTGGTAGAACAGAAAGGAGAGCCTACGTCCGATTCAAAGAACATATTCCGAAAAGTTTAAGGTTAAATGGATTGAACGCATTCAACAGTGCTATCGCCAGACATCTCCTTGATACAGGACATAAAGCTGATATACTGAAGTCCTTCAAGGTGATTAACAAACAATCAAACTCGAACCTTTTGAAATTCGCTGAAGCGTTAGCAATCAAACGTTTAAAACCAGATCTATGTATACAAAAAGAGACAGTAATAAATCTTTCTTTACCCTGGTAACAATAACCCCCACTCTTTCTATTAATTTGCTCCTATTTATTTATTTATTACGTGATTATTGCAACTCTTTCTGAAATATAAATTACATCATACATAACTGATTGATTTCAATTCATATTTTCTTTATTACCATTAATCAATTTTCATGAGTTCTAATCACTATTTCAATGTTCTGGAACTTTCCCTCTCAAACTTTATTTATTTATTCGAATCAAACATTTTATGAGCTCATTAATTCTATCTGAATATTCGCTACATCATCATACACATGTATTGATCCTTAGTCACACTCTTATATATAAATATGTCAATATCTGTATTAATGTTGAATTTTCAAATAATTTAGGTTGTAAGCAGCTGATGAGAACCTAACGAAATAAAATGAATTCATATTATTCTGCACCAATTTTTGTTCTTGCTCTCTTTAAAATAATAAAGGGAACTATGTGTATGAAAATGGTTTTTGACGTTTTCGGAAGGAAAACATGGCAATAAAACGCGAAAGAGCCCCAGTAGAGACAACCCAGTTCCTCAGTGAAGCATCTCTAGCAATTTAAGCAGAAGAGAATAGCAGTAGAAAATAAACAGAGGAAACTTCTTTCTGGGTGCAATTTGTTAGGCGTGATATATAAATATCCCAGCCGATGAGACTACACTATCGGCAACTGAATATCAAAAATGGATACGCCATGCAGATCAAATACCGGGAAATTCTGACGCGTCGCAGAAATCTAAAAACGTGGGTTTGTGTAGGAAACCTCAGACAGCGACTCAGATGACAGTAGGATGAGAACAGAACCTAATGAGAAATTTATTACTGAAATGCAGGAGAGCAGAGTTTCTCTAGTTATGCCTAAAAAGGGAAGCGTGCAACGTTTCCAGGGGAAGATGTCGATGATGATATCTTAGTTGTTGCTTGCAACAAGTGACCAGTCAATTTTTCTTTTATTTATTCTATTTACCTGGACCAGTCACGTTTTACAAGGGTCACAACGTTAGTCAAATGGTAGTTATAACCTTTTTATCAAGTGGGAAGATGATGTGAACAGACAAATGAAGAAGTCATGACAAGCAGTGGAAGCTGTCTTGAGGAATAATATCACTTAATTCAAAATTTATAAAATACTAACGTTTGGTTCTGTCTCTGATTATTCCTAAGCTGTCGTTTGATGTATGATTCCCTGCCATATCCTTTTCAGTTCCAAAGCCTTTGCAATTCAAACGTGACTTTTGTAAACATTTTTATATCCTAATGCTTAGTTTGGACATAACCGTATTTTTCGAATTGTTTGAGCTTTGTGGTAGCGTTATTTATTTATTTATTCATGCATCTTTTTATACTAATCCAGACCGGAAATCAAGAATAAGTCTTCCAGTTGACTCGCTTTTGTGCTCACTTTCACTCATCGACCAGTCACAGAATAGTTTTCGTCTCTATTTTCCAGAGCCATTATTCTCAATTTAGACCCACGCGTTTCTGGCCCTAAGTTTGAACCAATTAGCCAATCATTTCAGGCCTTTAACCTAGATTAAGACAACTCCTCGACTCTACATTACTGGGTAGGCAGATCCATATTTGAGAGACTTAGTAAAGTCAACTGATCACAGAGAAAGGGTTTCCTGCCATGCGGAGAGCATTGATCTGTACCTCAAAACTTGACACTAACACGTTACAAAATATTAAGTGGATTATTAGCTTAGAGGTAATTACCCAACTACCTGTTCAAAGAATTAAAACATCTAAGGCAAACTAGACACGTAGTCCTATCGTCAAACGGCAGATTAATCCAACATTTCCAGTAGCAACACTTGAACACAGAGATGCAATATGGAAGCACCCCACGAAGAGAAGTAGTTAAGGAGAATTATACGAAGACAGTCTTTAAATGGTGTATGATGAACGGTCGGTGGTAGTAACTAAAAATATAAGCGAAATAAATACATATAGTCGCTTTTGAAGTCGAAAATATATGAACACAATATGTAAGAATGAAAATATTAAAAAATTAACTTTACAATTAAAGTAAAACCAGGAGTTACTGTCAAGTGAAATGCGTACAGAAGGGGTTTCACACGCACAGACATGGGTAGACGTGTGCATTTTCTAGTCTGGTTTCTATTTCGTCTTTTTGTTCCAAATGCTCTTATTTTGTAGTATTCCCTCGTATCTATTGATTTAAATATATTTTCATTCCCTCATTAACGTACGTTCTTTCACTTCTTATCGTTATTTGAGTTCCAACTTTTAAAAGTCTAATGTTACTAATCAAACAGCTGCATAACGAGATAATGACTCCTAGTTCCCGCAGTCCCACCGTAATGAGACGAACGGCTCTAATGACCTGAAAATAATCAAGCCCTTGTATGAGTGTTAGATTTCTGATGAATATTAGGGTGAAGTAAGTTGATTCTTCAACGGGCGGCACTACTAGGTTTAACTCATTTTCGGAAACTTTGACGTGATGGCTGAAAAAGAAATATTGGACATCTAATTAGCACTATGACAACAATAACGCGCACATTTAAAAACAGTTTTCGATGAGGGAAAGCATATATAATTTAATACCTTTAGAACAGCCACCTAAAGCTTCCTTTCCAAGGTAATTTTAGTTTTCTTTGTTATCATATTGATTTTAGATATAAATCATGTAGCCAGAGAGAAGTAATATCCTTATTTAACATTAAAAAGTTTCCTTGTAAAACTATGGGAGTCCCAAAAGTTAATCCACCAAATCCGCAATGCTATCTTAAGATGAGGCACTCAGCACCTGAATTATTTCGTAAAAACGACGAGCCGTTGAAGGGTAGCTTAATTTTTTTTGGTTCAATTTTTATGAATATCCAGGCAGCTATTATAAATGTAACCTCTCAGCTAAAAGAGAACCCCTGCCGTCTCTTAAATCTAAAGCAATAAACGTCGTTTCATGCAAAGATTTTATCAAAAAGAATATAAGGATGATAGAAGCGTCAGTGCCTTCAAAACCCAAACCGTTTGTGGTAGATACGAGGACAGGCCATAAGTTTGATATCAAGTGTTCTGGTCTTGAGCCTTTTTATATTAAGCGTAAGGTGAGCACTTATCATTGATCAACTTTGAATGAATACAGGATTTTGGTGAATTGCCGAAATATCTATCTGAGCGTGAGAAAGCCGCTTCTGAAGCCCAAAAGAACTATGAAGAATACATTAAACAACTTAAGGAGAAAAATGCTCTGATGGTTATCACAAAAGATGAGAAAAAGGTAGGACTGTTTATCTACTTTCGTAACTTTCTATCAACTTAGTCTTTAATTGATCAACTAAAAGACAAGTGGCAGCAAAGATATAGACAGTATCAATCTTTATCCGTTGTGATTGACACTCCCCCAAAAATGCACCACAAATTATGGCTTGAAAAAGAAATGGAAGACATAGAAAAAGACATAAACCTCCTGGAAGGATACGATTATATTTACGTTGCCAAATAAATGTCATATTAAACATTTATAATAAAAAGTGCCTACATACGATTGTTGCACTAATACTCACACTGGCTAGTGTACTGATTTCTCATATTTCCTATTCTGAAGAAAACACACTATTTTTTCTTCATTTGAACTCTGTAACAACTTATCCCCAAGTTTATTTCAGAAATGCTATGGTATCCAGAAAGGTGCATTTACAGTTTTCACATGCACCTACAAATTTCTCTTTCATTTTGTTTTGCAATATTTTTCCTCACTCTTTGTAGGTATGTGATTTAGATTACGATGTTGCTCGCAATCAAAAATTTACAGTTTTGTGATTGGAACCATTTGTATCCTTCATTTTGGCCACTTAGGACAGAAGTTTAATTGAGCTATACTCTGTAGTAAGTAGAACAGCGATGCGCAAATATTTACTTATCAGCTGTGCCACTAGCAGACAGTTTTTACACAAATCGGGTTAAAGTAGCCTGGAGAAAGCGATACCTATGAGTCATGTGAAAAGTAAGACACACAAACTGTTACAACAACTTGTTCAGCCTTTAGTAGTATAGAGAGCAATGGATTCCTTACGACTGATTGGGAGTTATGGCTAGCATACGATTGAAATTTAGGAAAATTTAGTTACAATTCCAAAGGTTACCAGTCAACATGATGAAATGCATCGCAGAAATCATTTTCTGGTGTTTAGTAAACTATTACATCTGCCTTGAACTCCAAGGAATATCAAACGTGAAAGGTTACTGTTTGGACAAAGTAAAATATACGATTCCAATAAATCTGATATGCTCCATTGCACTATATTTTCATCATGCATTGGACTTATAAATTTTAGAACGTGATACTATGGTTTGTGTATTACACCATAACCAAAAGAACTAATTCAAATAGTTAGATTAAAGCTGATTGTTGATGGTATTCATATTTACTTGATTTTAAAATGAATTGCTTTTAAATTTTCTTAATGCCCTTCGTTATAAGTCTGCAACTTTATTGTGTTAGAAGCTTGCATGCCTCCCATCCCAACTTAGATGGTATGACATTGCAACAAAGGATTTATAAATTTGTCGTGAAAATAATATCGACGTTATGGTTTCTATTCCGGGTATCACGGAGTGTTTATTTTTTAGATATTGTTATCACATATTCGTAGATATCCTGCAGCTAGTTTTAATTTACAGTTTTATGATAATTAGAAGTATTCAGTATATTGTATTAACTAGGAATTTCCGAAATAGTGCAATTTAAACCAAAGAGAGTTAGATGAGCACAAACAAACGTACTGTATTTATAATTCAAAACCATAAACGAATCAAGTACGAAAAAATCATTGGTTCATACATAAACAGCATATCTGTCTATGGTTTGTAGTTGCAAAATACCGTTCTGATGGATTCTAATGACATTTATTTATCAGTTCCTAAATTGATAAATGAACAGCTAACAACAACTATCTATATACCAATATTGATGGGATTAGTTGTAATAATCAAACCAAAAATCTCCTTTGACCTAATCTTGCCAGTATTTTGAACAAAAGCTTTCAAACAGCTACAGTTTAGAATGAATATGTGTAAAGTTGATTTGCTTTAGTTTGTAAAAATTCATTTTCATAAAATATGCCCAGCGTCCATTAAAGAACTAATAACTTATTCAAAAGATTACGACAAAGTATCCATAACGACTTTAACTAGAGAGAGATTTAGTTTTGTAACAATGAAAATATTTAAGATATATGACAACTTTATTATTTCTCATATAAACCGGATCATTGCTAAACTGTTTTGCAGTTAGTCAGAAATATAAGTTACACAGCATATTAAGTGACCGATAAAAGTGTAAACTTCTGCACAGTACTATATCGTTTTAATGTTTTGGAGACTTAAATACTAAATGCAGATGAAATTAAAGAAACACAAATAAGTTAGTAAGATTTTTATAAACATTGTATGTATATATATGTGATGATGATTAGAAGTACTCGAATTAATGTGCTATGAATTCCTGAAGTAGTGCAATTCAAGCCAAGTAGAACTAAATGAGCATTATATTTGTAAGTCGTAATAAGCGAGCAACCAAGTAAAGAGAACTCATTGTTTAGTTCAAATACCATAATATATAATGTAAACAAGTGAGTTGATACGCCAAAATTAAAATGATATTCAGCTCCCACTGAATTTATTAAATTTTATGTCCCTGTGCCCCTTTAATATATGACGTAATGATACCGCCAATTAGAGCACAGTAAATTATCGACCAAACAAACGAAGCGTAAACTCATACAAGTAGTCTACAGTCCTTATCAGTTCTTCTTCCTGCCTAGCCCTGCCTGTTAGAGTCCAGAACACCAGTCTCAGTCTCTGCGATACGAAACATGTATTTCAGGCATACAAATCAAACAGACCACATCGTACCATAAACTAGAAAATAACAGTTGTACAAGATCTAGCAAGTGTGGCTGTGAATTTGAGAGACTGGTCATTACTCAAGAACGGTAACTCATATAATAATAATAATAATCTATGAGTCAAAGTAAAGCTTAGAATAAGAGGAATATAGATACACATATTTTTTGATGGAGTTTTATTCTCTGAGCTGGATGGTTTGGTCGTGAAGCTTCCATCGTTCTTCTGAACGACCTCATCAGCACAAACTTCAGATAGAAGTGAAGTGTTCGAATTTCTCCACAGGAGTTTCACAGCTTGTTCTGTACGCCTTGATGTTGATTGGTTCTTTTTGACTTTAAATTTGTCATTATTTACTTCTTTGTTTTGGTTGTGTCTCCCGTTGGTTTGATTTTTGTTCCTATATTTGTGCATAATTTTCCTGACTGGTTGATAAATTGGGTCGATTTCAATGTGCTTGTTGATTGCTGATTGAATTGAGTGCTAGGCTTTTAAAAATCCTCTGGTGTTTTTGGAATTTCCTCTGTCTAAGATTTCTACAATTTTCCAATCAAATGAGTGTCCTCAGTTTTCCACGTGTATTAATATAAGTGAGGAAGTATCATGGCGTTTGACTGCCAATTGATGTTCATATAGGCGAAAGTAAAGAGGGCGTCCGCTTTGTCCGATGTAGCGTTTTTCACAGTTGGTACAATTTATTTTGTAGATGATGTTTGATTTGTTTCCCTTTGTTATTTCATCCTTTGGTTTGCATAGCATTGATTGTAGTGATTTTGTCGGTTTGTATGCCACACCTATCCCAAAGGTTTGACTACTAAACAATTGTACATTAAGAATATACATATAATATTTGTCCATCAATACTTTTCAAAAGTTACCATTCATAATTCTCGTCGAAATATAACAATATCTTATTGAAGTAGACTGCTGATTATGTTGAACAATATTTTCGATTAAAACAGACTTCCTGTGAAACCAATTACAAGGACCTAACTAATGAATTATAATACTTATTATTGAGATCAAAAGATCTCAATGTTTCAATTTCACTTTACATATCACAGTCACAACTATGATCATTTAGTACAGTAGACTTATGGTATTTAGTTCGATGAAGCTTGAAAATATCGACCGGTAGATTGAAAGGTCACAATTTTATGCTCTTGTTAACCGTCTATTGTTTTCTAGCAGAATGTAATAGAAAATTTAACTTAAGCAGATTTAGAATAGGAAATGTGGTCAAAATATAATTATGTTACTGGCTAAATTGTTTCGAATGTTTTTTTCCACTACTATCATTTTTCATATAAATCGAGGAGAGATTAGTCAAATGAAAAAGTAACGATATATAAAATACAAGATACATTTCAGGTAGTAATACAACTGTGAATGGTTTCCTGTAGATAACAGAGTTCCTTGCACATTAAGGAGGAATATAGAAGAGAGTTATCGTAACATCACTATTGGCTTTTAACCTTAGCTATGTCTGACAACGGCTCACATCATTATGGTGCACCATCTGTAGAACCCAAATCAGGGTGTTGTGATGCAATGACAATCGCCAATTCTATTCAAATTTCTTTCATACCATTAAACTATGTAATAAACTGACCGCCCTGACTCTTTCTTCAGCCAGCCTAAGCATTAGTAAACAATATACGTTGTGAAAGTTGATGGTATAAAATTCATACCACATGTTTAAACAACCGAGACAGATGAAGTTATCAAACTACAAAAGCTCAATCAACAAGTTCGTAAATGTCAAGTGTTTGATGATTAAAAGGAAACAACAATTAACACTACATAAGCTGATAATAATTACTTGCTTATATTCAATTATAAAACTTAAATATTTTAGTGTATTTCTCTCTTGGAAACAATTCTGTTAGGTCTGATGATTGTGAACAATCCATCATAAACAAGGTAAATTAGGCTAAACATTCTCTGTGAATAGAAACTAATATCATATGACATTATCTTCAATCTTGATTGAATTTCATCTGATGGATATTCTTCAGTAAACTTACAACTATTCAATAACAAGTCACAGAAATCGTCAAACCTTTCATTATCAAAATTGATGATCCCACCATTCTGCTACACTATTACTTACTTACTTAAGCCTGTTACTCTCAATGGAGTATAGGCCGTCGACCAGCATTCTCCAACTCACTCTGTCCTCCACCTTCTTTTCTAGTTCTATCCAATTCTTGTTCATTTTTCTCATGTCTGTCTCCTTTTCTCGGCGTAATGTGTTCTTTGGTCTTCCTCTTTTCCTTTGGCATCGGGGATTCCATGTGAGGGCTTGTCTTGTGACGCAGTTGAGTGGTTTCCTCAACGTGTGTCCTATCCACTCCTAGTGCTTCTTCCTGATTTCTTCCTCCGCTGGAATCTGGTTTGTTCTTTCCCACAGTTGGTTGTTGCTAATAGTGTCCGGCCAACGGATTCGAAGTATTTTACGTAGACAACTGTTAATAAACACTTGTATCTTCTAGATGATGGCTTTTGTAGTTCTCCAAGTTTCCACCCCATACATTAGAACTGTTTTGACATTTGTATTAAAAATCCTGACCTTGGTGTTGGTTTACAGTTGCTTTGAGTTCCAGATTTTCTTCAATTGTAAATATGCTGCTCTTGCTTTGCCGATCCGCGCCTTCACGTCTGTACCAGATCCTCCATGTTCATCAATGATTCTGCCCAAATATGCAAAGGTTTCTACATCTTCCAAATCTTCTCCGTCAATTGTGACTGGATTGGTGCATGCTGTGTTGTATCGGAGAATCTTGCTTTTCCCTTTGTGTATATTGAGACCTACTGCTGCTGAGGCTGCTGCTACACTGGTCGTCTTCTTTCGCATTTGTTGTTGCGTGTACGATAGAAGACACAGATCATCTGCGAAGTCTAGATCGTTCAACTGCATCCAAGATGTCCACTGTATTCCGTGCTACAGTCGATCACCAGGTGAAAGAGAAAGGGTGAGAGTAAGCAACCTTGCCTGACACCGGTCTTTACTTTGAACGAGTTTGTCAACTGTCCTCCATGCACGATTTTGCAGTGTAATCTATCATATGAGTTCTGTATGATATTGACTATCTTCTGAGGCACGCCGCAGTGTCGAAGAAGCTTCCATAGTGTTGTTCTGTTCTGCTACACTATATTCAACGTTTATTATTTCACAAGGTATTCAAAAGATGCTCGTCATCAACAATGTAATTGGTGTCTTTTTTGGTAGTACGCTATAGGAAAATGTTACCTGATTGAACTTTTTCGTTTGAATTCTAATCGATTTCTTGGCATTCATATCCCAAGTGAAATATTTTGGGTGGATATTCAATTCTAACACTGATATGTACTTTTTGTATATATGAGATCAAATTGCTAATTAAGTGGAAAGACAAGGAATAAGTCTTACTTATATCGAAAGAAGTCATATTTGGTAGCATTTAATCACACTGCGAATAAAATAAACATAACTATGAATATTGATTGAGCGGTATCTAACTAAAATCAAAAGCATAGCCTACGGAATGTTAGCTAGTTAGCTTCAGTCAGTCGGTCAGGAGGAATAATAGGAAT